AGAGAGCCCGCGGCGGCACGCTCACAGCCTGAGTGTGCGGCTTCGTTCCTGTTCCTCCGCAACCTACTTATGCTGCTTTGAAGTATCTGTTATATTTAAGCGAACAACAGAGAAACACTTATATATCCCGCCTTAGAAGAGAAAAAAACGCTCGTGTTATAAGTGTACCTCAGTAGTTAATTTCCTACTTCAATCCAGATTTGAATATTTCTGATCTAAATCTAATCACTAACAATTCTCCAGTCTCTGCCAGGATATGTTTGTTGCTGAGCTTTTATTAAAAGAGCTCACAGCTCAATTGTTACATCATTTCTTAGTATAAATTTATTTAGTTGTTAATGATGTTTTACTATAAAGGTTACTCTATGTTATTTATTACTTAATTAAATAACAGACTGTTAATGTTCCATTTCCTGTGGATCCAAATTATCCTCTAATCCCGGGTCCATGTGTTTGGCTTCCAAATACACTATACTGTAAAACAAAAACAACAGCAATGGGGGGAAGTTTACAGTTTTCATCTAGCTTCACATTATTTCTTTTGCTGCTGGCTTCTAAGAAGCTGTGGAGCAAACCCAAACCACTGAATAGCCCAGTAACATATATTTCACTTGTAACGCACCCTCTTATTTTAATGCTGCCATCTCTGGGTGTTTTATACAGAGTTATGTTGCTTTGCCTTTAGCAATTTCCTCTTCCGTTCCCTCTGTCTTTAATACAGAAGAAAATAAAAACTGCATAATTAGGATGAACTTAATATTCCTAAATAGCTCTTAACCATGGAAGAAGGAAACAGTAAGACAGGAGTTTTCATGTAGCATTTGGTTTACATTATTGTAATGTGCTGAAAAAAGCTCACAGTAAAATAAAAATGATCTGTGGAAATATGGATAAAAAAACAAATGAAATTTAAAAAAAAAAGAAAACAAAGATCAGTTACATCAAAGGAGCAGTCATGGGTTCAGTTGAGTCTGTTAAAACTAAGCTGAGCAGCGCTTTGGAGAGTATGCCATGGAGAACTAGTTCACACTGGAAAGACAATGGATTTGATGATCTAATATATAACTGAACTGTATGATTTCACCCCCAACAGAATCTTGTTCTCTTTGTACTTGCTGTTCAGCAGAGTGATAATTATGCTAACAATGTGTCTTCTTTCTGTGGTTTTCAATGTGCAAATTATGGTGCAAATGTATTCATCATTTAAAAATATGTTGAGAACTTCCGCAGATGGGGTTTTGACAGGAGCAAATTTAGATGTTCTTTAAATGTTCAAATTTAGAACTCATTAAGGAGACACAGATAGACACCTCCTATTTTGCATTAGAGGTAAGAGGGAAATATCTTAGTCTGAGAACGTGTAAGCAGACTGATTAGCAGCTTTCAGCAAACAGTTTTCTCCTAAGATCTTTCAGTCATCGTGGTTTTTTCCCACTGAAGAGGGCTGACCCTCAAAATGTTTGCAGGTTCAGTCTGGATGGGTATCCATACTTCGAATAAAGAGCACGGTCTCACCCTGGAAAACTGAGGTGTAATTTCACGGTTAATTTTTCTTTTTATTTTTTTTTTCCAGTCATAGTAAATATCTTAAGACTTTAAATCTTTGGGATTGTTTGTTGTTGCTGGTTCTCTTGCAACAGCATTAAACAGGAGGGACATCACTAAAAACAGTGCAAGAAAAGAATTTTTAGTGCCCATTCTTCTTAGAAGCCGTATGTGGAAAGACATGTGTGACTTTTCATTTACACTTGAGCAAAAATAGCAGCCATCTCTGACAATACTGAAATCCATACACAAGGCTGCATATTCCTGACTGCCACCCTATTGACATACCCCCTAAAAACTCCTTACAGGTATGCAGGCGGACACAACTGTTTCAGAGAGCTTGAGGGTGTCAGTTCCCAATGGAAGATTTTTCTTTGGCTTAAAGGGAAGTTCAGGCCATACATGAGAAAAGGAAAGACATTCAGTCCTATTCATGAAAATGAAAAATAACCCAATAAATACAAGTTAAAACACATCTTTTAGAATATTGGGCAAATATTTAAATTTTGAGGCTGTTCTTCCATTGTGAGAGCTGGTCCTGAGATCCTTACAGGCACGCAGCAGGCCTCGGCTTTGACGTGAACTGAGTTAAACATCTCTTCCTTCCAGATTCCTAAAGAGCAAATGTAACTGTGAAAGCTCTGAAGCAATTTAGATGCCAAATGTTGTGACGATTGTTGTGAAAAAAGATACATTCCAAACAAGAGGACATTTAATGAGATACAAAGAAAGATAAGGGACAATATAGTTGTTTTCTTGAAAGTTTTACTTGGGTTAGGTTAGTGATGTTGCTACATTATTTAGTGATTGCCAGGGGACGAATTCTTCTGTTCTTAGAAATTTAACAGTATATATGGGCATATACTGAGGAGTTACAATATCCTAAAATGTTGACTGGTGACACTCTTGTGTTTTTGAGATGACTTGCAAAATTCATACCTATTCCGGACAACCAGATGAGCACTGAGAGTACAGGGTACTGGTTCAGGCTACACTTTTCCTAGGAACAAAACAATATTTTTACCAGGTCTGAGTTTACTGGGATTGTTTTATACCCCATATCACTAAGAGTATGAAAATATAAGCAAAAAGTTGTATTATTAACATGTCTCTAAATGTTGTCTGTTGAAAGCAATAAAGCGGAGCACTCAGTGAAATTTAGTACTGTGATTTAAGAGACAAAGGTTCTTTATGAGATACTAAATGAAATTTAAGTGCTCGGTTTGGTTTGGTTTTTATTTTCCATTTTAGAAAGTTCTAAATTACAGAATGCTGGTCGCAAGCAATCAGTATCTAGAAGCCTGAAGCATCTTTTCCATTCATCAAACAAGTTTGTGAAGACTCTGAAACGGTTTGTCACCCATTTTATCTCCTAAATATAATGAGTTTTAGCTAACAGTTGTGGCTTTTATGTAATAGTGAAAAGCACCTTAAAAATAGATGTCAACAGATTTTGCTCCCAATTAAAAAGCAATCAATCAGAATAAACCTGATAAAGTTGCATACATATGAGATTGATGCACCTATTTGGAAACTAACGTTCCAGTTCCTACTGCAACCAATAGCATTCTTTTCATTGTTATTACTGAAAATGGATTTGAATTGTAACAGAGTGAAATATTTTATGCAGACACAACCGTACAGCTACTTTTTAGTATTTTTGAAATACTGCCTCTGTGGCTGCTCAGTAATGAGACTGTGGAATTTATTTCATTCATAACATAAAATGCAGGGATCGAGTAACCTGTTTTAATAGATATTAATATCCCATTGGCCAGAAGCAGCGCATCTAGAATTCCCTAATATTTTTAGCTAGGTTTGCAACCCAGTGTGACACAACAGGCCTCAGCCTTGAAAGCAAACGAAAGTTTCTTAGACTGGATTATTCTTTCATTGCCATGAGTGTTCAGTTTGCTTTTTCTTCTTTGTATTATGATAAGAGTTTGATTCTTTCAGAAGAGCTCTCCAGTGTCTTTAAATTCCCCAAGGCAACTGCTTAATGTATGTAACTAATTGCAAGGGTAAATATTGAAAGGAATGATTTCTATAAACAGTTTTGCAGATATTCTGGCCAAATTACACTCAATTACACTAAAGTAAATCCATAATAACTAATAACCCTCCTGATTTCAATTAAGTTACTCCAGATTTGCTCTGAAGTAAATGAGGGCAGATCTAAGCCCGTTAATGATAAAAAAAATTTTGGTAAAATTTCTCATTTCTGCAGGTCACAAAGCCTCCATTGTGTACTCTTTGCTCTGAAAAATTCTTACTAAAACTGATTTCAGTGGGTTGCCCAGATTCATAATTTGTTAGGTTCTTGTAGTCTCGCATCATCTGAAGTGATGAGCTTTCTAAGTATTTTTCAGAATTTACTGGCTGAAGTTGCATGATCTGTATAACACAAAAGTTAAAATCAGATTATTAGACTTGCCTCCTCAACACTTAAAATCTATGATTCTTTGGCTTAGATTTGTATTAGCTAAGATTTGGTGTGGTTTCATGAAAGGTGTTGAACTTAATGTTTCTCTCTTTCTTTAGGGGACTCTACTTATGCGTTATATTTTTTTACAAGGACAACTTACTAGTAACCAATGAAGATCAAATTCCAATTGTGGAAATTGATGACTCTCACAGTAGTTCGGTTACGCAGGATTTCCTATGGTTCACAAAGGTAACAGGAGCCTACTTTCATATATTGCTTCTACAGATTTGGAGCTAGACTTTGCATGGGTGTCTGTTGATCATTCCCTAGTATATGAAATGATGCCATCGAAAAAGCTAAATGACAAAGTGCTTTACCTGTTACTCATGTTAAAACGTAATTTTCACATACCATTTATATGGGTTAAATCCTGACTGGCTCACTGGTAGTGGCACAATTAACTATTTGAAATGTATGATAGTACATAAATGGTGGCTAACTGGGCACATAACAGTTTTATGAACAGTTAGAAGAGCCTAAAAAATAAGCTAGAAGTTTTAAAGGTGATATTATGATTATACTGTCATTCAGACATCTTTGGACTATTTTTGTCCCCCAGAGAGCAGTAGATCAATTTTGCATGATATTCTAAAAAGCAACTTATAAAGGTGCATGATTTTTAGAGAATGACCTCTTGTGTCTATGATTCAATATTTGTTTCTATCCAGGCAACTCATTGCCATCATAGAAACTCAAATTGATGAAAAATAGCTACTGATTTTTAAGTCCAAAATGCTTTTATTTTCACTTCTGCTTTTGTAAATGCTGAGAACAAAGACTGACTCAACTAGACATATTTTTGCAGCTGTCTTGTATGTGGGATGATATCAGATGGCTGAGGCAGAATATGTCTATATCCGTGTCCTCATCAACAGCGCTTCAAGCCAGGCAAAAGATGCTTTCAGCAGCAGCACAGCTACAGGTTGGTTGCTTTGCATATTTTCAGCTATTAACTTCAGTGACTCTCTGGTATCTAAGGGAGAGTACCGCCGGCTGTCCTTTGCTTCACCACTCTCCATTATCCTATTCTTTGGAGTAGCAAACATTGTCATCTACAGTGAAGTGAGTTACTGAGCCTGTCTTGCCAGCTGAAAGGAAGGAGTTCTGTTAAAAGTAAATAGTAGGAAAAAGAAGGGAAAGAAACAATAGAGGCAGAAGAGGAAATGAGCAGATATGAAACAGCAAATAATGACCACAGATAATGGGTTGCAGATTGGGAATGCAAGAGTTGTAACCCTAATATTCACTGCTCAAAATCCTTTTAGAAGGCCTATTCATTATTAGTATATTAAAGAAGCATTTAAACTCTCAGTGAGGCTTAGCACTCTCTTGTGCTATCTGGGTACCTATAGCAGTAGGTAGCTTCTGTCCCCAACAGCAAGGACAAGGAGGGTGTTGAGGTTGCCCAAATGGCGTTCTTGATTCTCCTGTGGCTTACAAGGAGGCTTACGGCTTACAATAGGCTTACGGCATCTAGGCCAGAGCTACCCTGTCTGACAAACAAGATGGCTGTGCTGTTGTGGGTTGTGTGAGGCTGATGGATAATCCTTATCCTGGGCTACAGGAGGAGGCAGTGCTGGAAGTGTGTTACACCTAGTGTTTTTGAGTCACCACTGACACACTTAAATTCTACAGAACTATTCCATAAGGGATAGTATATTAAGGTGGGTTACAAAAACAAAATGAACTGAGCAAAGACAGTTGTTCTGAGTGCCCTCCCTCAAAACTAAAATCACATGGGATTGTCAGTGTGGAAATAAGAATGAATAAATATGGGATATAAGAATTGGGCTGCCAAATTTTTAGGGTGAAATGTGCAGAGAAGCAGAGATGAAGATCGGTTAAATGGTGCATAGATCTTGTGCTGATTCCTCAGCACAGTGCTATTGATGTCAAATGGTTAAAGCATAGGTAGTGATTTTCAGGGGACCTGGTTCTCTTCCAACCTGTCCTACTGGTATAACTGAGTGCCACTGAACAAGCCACTTAATCCTTCTGTGTCTTGGTCCAGTATTTGTTACACAGACAAGAATTATACTTTATGACACGATTTCTCCAGCAGAATATTTTGAGCTTTATTGTAAAGCTTTTGAAGAATGGGTTTAGTGATAACATGAAATCTCTAGTTGGAAGGCAGACCCTTCCTAAAATATTTACTTTTGTGGAAAAATACATTTGCAAAAAGGTGTGTGTGTCATTCTTACAGAAAAAGGATGCCCAGCCTCGCTTTCTCCTACCTTTTGTTTGTACAGCATAGCTGGCTTCTTATTCTGTGTCTGTATTCTCCCTCAAAACTTTCAGATGCAAATAATTACTGATAATAATAGTATTCTTCTAAAATTCATTGATTTGAGAACACTGCATAATAAAAGAGTACTTAGCTGGCACTAGTTTTTTACGTATTTCTTTGGTTCCTAAAACCAAAGCATCTCAGTGTTTCATATACCGTCACGACTGCTTGCATGCAGCTCTTCCTGTTACACAGACAGAGTAACTGAGGCACAAAAGAATTAAATGAAATCCCCGAAGCTAACCAGAAAAATCTATAGTACAATCAGGGAGTTAATGCAGATCACAGAATCACAGACTGGTTGATCTTCATACTGTTAGACTCATGCTTTAGTCGTACAGCCATCCTTCTTGTTATTGCCAGTCAACGTAATAAGCTAGGTTTTATAGCAGCTATGAGAGCCAGATACTTTGTGGGCATTATTAAGAATATCCTTGTGGGGTTTGTTTTACATCTTTTGGCAAAGAAATCTGTACAGGAGAGTAGCTTTCCTGGGCAGCCACCTGTCTTGATTAATTTCCCCAAAGTATCCCGAAATATATGGAATGCCAGCCTGCTGTACCTTTATTAGGGGACCACCTGTGTTAAGCAACAGCTGCTTGTCAGTCCTCTGAGCTGTCACTAGAGACAGCTTTAACTGTATCTGCTGAATGTTCCCTGCAGGGTGGTTAGCTCGGCTTAGGTAGCCCGTACTCCTTTGGTTAGCTCCGTTTCATTTCTCCTGCACAGATTGTCCTTAACAGAGCATCATTAGTAAGCACAGAGTGCACTTTGAGATACCCACAATTCCTGGTACATTGTGCTATTACTTGCTACCAGAAATGTTAAAAGCAGAGCTTGAAGCACAGAGATATGGCAAATGTGCCCATGTGGGGTATATTGCGCTGCAGAATTTGCGGCAAATTTGTTGCCCTTAACGTTTGTTCTGTTCGTGTGGTCCCCTGATGAACGCATGGATTGTCAATGATCTGCCAGCCTTTAACGGCATGTAGCCTAATGGGATCCACCAATTGAAGGATCTCAGTAAAGTTTATACGGTTGAATACATTTTATTGAGGCAGTTAACAGACTGACTCCACAGGAATTTAGGACAGAATGGAAAAGATCAGTGACAACACAGCTGTTAAGGGACTAGATCAGTGGATCCAGAGACAACAAGGACTGTAATTTTGCTTGCTGTTACCACTAGACTACTAAAGCAAACAAAACACAAGGGATGGGATGTCCAGATGAGCATAGACAAAACTTTTTTACCGTATGAATTAGCTATATATTCCTGTTCATGGTGGGTACTCCCATTCTTCCTGCTGGAATGCCACTCGGAACAGAAAGTTGTCAATGGCAGTATAGATCTGTTTGCTCTTTCATCTAGGCACATTCATATATTTTAGTGATTAAATCAATATGACAGCTAGATGACTAACATCTAGCTGCAATGACTTGTCCCATCTGTGGGCACATGAATTAGTACAAAATATATACCTAAGATACCCAGTGTTAATTACTTATGGAGGCTAACCTCAACAGGCAGAAAAGTTTTCAATAAGAGAACAGCAGATATAGTGTAGCGGGTCTTGAACAGCATGCCCTAGAGAGGGGTGTATAAAGCTTAAAGAGCTAAGTTATGCCACGTATATGGCAGTTACTGTGCTGACTATCTATAGAGTTTATAAACAGTGTAATAATACAGTTTATAAATAAATATTGTCTGCTAAATGCAAATAAATAAATTCAGGATAATCTATCAGTTTGCAATGTCATTAAGTTAATGTACAGCTATGCACTTCCCTACACATACAATGTGCTACATTGTGAATTCAAGTTTTCATTTTAAACAACCCCCATCCCTGTCCAGCTTACTGTAGATCTCTTGAAAAGTCCCAAAGTAATGAGCATATTTTAAATGTTAGGCATTTTTCTTTAAGACATCTGGGAATCTCTTCAGTGGCTGGTCACTGGAGTGAGTGTGTTTGCACCTATAAGCAGATGCCTTACTGTGTGTGGAAAGGGATTTTGACCAAAATATGTATTTTATGTGAAGTCTTTTAAAATTACTTTTCTTTAATCCTCACATATTTTCCTGGAGAGCTTTGCTTTGGTAGTTTGTTAGTTTCTGCTGGTTTTGTCTGCACATTCTTGGTATCTGAAGTAAAAGGAAAAGGGTCCATGTCTCTTCAGATTCCTTTGTGTTCCTTAACACGCCGCGTCGTTTTAGCTCCAGAATTATTTACTTTCAGCAAAGATATGAGAGCCTCTTGCTTTTGTTGCTGAAAATAATCTGCATCATTTTAAAACAGGGAACAGAGAAATGAGATTATAGTTAATGGCCCTAACAGAAGGCATTTGAAGTGTCCAATATGAATTATTTGGGGATAGCAGAGGAATTCTGAATCTCTGACATGCACTGAGTCTCTCATTTGGGTATGGAGAGGTTAAGATAAAGCATCTAGCTCTTCAGTGTTCAAACCAGAAGGACTTCATGGATACCAAAGAATCACCACTAGACCAACAGCATGCTTTTGAAAATTGCGTTCCCTGTTTTTACATGGGCACAAATAGGAAGAAGTTCTGCCCAAATTATATCAGTGAATTGCTTTGCAGTGTGTCCTTTTGCAGAGATGTTGGATCGTAGTGGTCATACTGTTCCATTAAATTTTGGGCTAAAATTACTGGACCAAACCCACTGGAGGATCCATAATTTAGTTCACAAACACAACTTGGGGCAAAATTTCTTCTGTTGCCACTGAATGATGTGACTGTAGGGCAAGGGTTTGAGAAATGCTGTGTATTTAGATTTTATTGAAGTCAGCAAGAAAGCTCATTCTGATTTCGGTAAGCACAAAGTTAAGTTTCAAAAAATACCGCCCTCCTGATATGCGATAAATAACATTTTGATTTTATAATTTGTTTATTTTCTAGAATTTGCTGGGAACGCACAATTTAGGCAGAGTTTACTATGAGCCAATCAAGGATCGACATGGCAATATACTGATAGTTACTATAAGAGAAGTGGAGAGTCTTTATTCATATTTTAATGGCAAATGGATGCAGATATCCAAACTACAAAGCCAGAGGAAATCCCTTTCAACTCCAGAGGAGCCAACAGCATTAGACATCTTGCTTATAACTATCCAGGTAGTGCTTTGCTTCTCTTACCCTATGTTGTTTGCTTTTTAAAGCCTGGCCAGAGCACTGATTTTTGGAAGAATCTTGTAGAATTTTAGGCCTTAATCCAGTGCCCAATAAAATCAATGGCAAGGCTCCCATTAAGAGCAAAGACTTATATTACTTCCAGTGGGGCTGGGATCAGAGCCTTAATATGTAAAATAGTCATAAGATTCTAAAGAAGTTGCTTTTAAGTTCTAGTAGAGAACGGTGCAATTTCTATCAGTTTCGGGAAACCATGCAATAGAATTCTTTAGCAAGGGATATAAAACCCTTTAAAATTCTCTAGGATGTTCTTAAGCACCTATACAGATGCTTATAATTTCTAGGCTCTGTAAGATTTTTCCATCCAACCTTGAACACTAAGCCTTGTATGGTTTAAAACCATACAGTTCTACTTCATCAGCTTGTTCTTTGAGGTTAAGAGTTTCTTGGAGCCCAGTTTAGTTGCTAAAGAATTCTTTACTGAGCAATTATCTCCTTTAATTTTTGGCATAACATGCCTCACAGATTTTAGGTTTCAAATGATAATGGATTGGTCCTAGAACATGCTTAGCATAGTCACTTCCTACTTAACATCAGTGAGAGTCACAGGTTTGCAGCACCATCAAGATTCAGGGTATCCATAAACTCATCTTACAACTATGTAGTCCACAGTAAGATTAATAAATGTTTTCTGTAGGTAACAGCAACTTGTTTCTCCTGAAGTGTCATTAGCCAGTCTCTCTTCTCTCTAAAACTAATGAGTTGCATAGTTACTGAAAACAGTACAAGACAAATTGTTGTCTTAGTTTCTTCTTTAGTCACCATAGTTAGATGATGACTGCTGTGGCTAATTTTTGAATTAGAGGCATTTTCCTGCGGAGAGACTGTGCTTTTGATACCGGAAACTGACAGGCAATCAAAATACACATTACCAGGTTTTAGGAACGTTAAAGAATTTCCAAAAGACAATAAAACTTACCTGATCTATGTTAGATTTACTGTATTAAAATGTGTTAAAGGTGTAGAAAAATGTCAATCTGGGCAAAAGTTTTATATGAGGAAACCCAAAATACAGGCCTGATCAGATTTCCACAGAGATCCTGGTGGAAAAAATGTTCCCCTAATGGTTTACACATTCCTATCTAATGCCCACCCTTTCTTGTATTACTTGCTTAATCATCGAATGGGTATTTTGTTCATGAAGTGCTTGTGAAAATGAGGGTCTAATTGCATTGGTCAGAGCCAAGCATAGCATTGGCAGATAATTTGATGGTTCCAAGAGAAAAGGCATAAGGCCAGGTGTCTTAATCCTCACCCATTGCAAAGGCCCACATTTCTCAGGATGGCAGCAGACATCATTTTTTAGGATAGTCTTTGGGGACTGCTGTACGTAGCTTTAAAAATGTCTCTTGGCTTCAGCAAATATGCCATCAGTACTAGTTCTTCCTGGGCTCTTTTTGCTGATGAAGATGTTTGTTTTGAAAACATAGCCATTAATTAAACTTTGCAAACCAGCAGCCCCAGCCCCCATGCTCATCGAGATCTCTCTGCTGATAGCAAATGGTAGAGAAGAGGTTTTTTGAGAAACCTCGGCTGTGACTCTACATGCATTTCTTTGGTGACAGTACTGGCTTATGCAGCCCCTCTCTCCTGCCTTCCCCAGCAGACAGCTTTTTCTCTGTGCTGCTCTACTCCATCTACGTAGCTGTACCCCAAAGTGAATCAGGGAACTGATGTGGCTGAAAAATAACAGCTTCTTTTCCTGAGTTGTTTTCAGCTGAATCAGTTCCCTGATCCAGCTCGCTGCTGAAATGATCAGACAAGAGTGCAGAGATGGGTGTTATTTAAGCTAGTTTAAACAGCACAGTTCACAGAATGTGAAACCTCAGGTTTTTAGGGCCAGTTCCTGCAGAGAACTTTGAGAATCCGTGTATGGCAGTAGAAAGTTGTCCAGGTGCATCCAAACTACCAGAGATTGTTTATACGCTTAAGCATGTGCTTAAATGCTTTGTGAATTGGGAACACTGTTGAAACAAAAAGACGGCTGTAAAAACATTTGCTGCTTTTTGATCCCATACTCTTCCGCTTATGTGGAAAAAAAATGAGATTTTTATGTAGGACTGTTTCTCTTAAAACAGGACATACTTTCCTATCACAAACGAAGTCAGCAACGCCTCCCTCCTGGCTTGTATTTGGGTTACCTTAAACTCTGCAGTTCTGTGGATCAAATCAAAGTTCTTGTACTGCAGAAGTTGCCTAATGTCCTGTGTCATGTCAAAATCCGAGATAACAGCAATGTTTCCAAGTAAGTGAATATATTACGTATTTACACACACATATGTAGAGAGAGAACATTTCTTTTAAGTTTGAAGCAATTTGTCAAATTTAAAAGCAAATGCCAGGTTACCACTGCAAAATTATAGCTTTCAGCAAAGTTTGGCTCAGGTGTGATCTCTATAGAGATCAGTGTTGAACTAAAGAGGTGCACCCACATATTTCCAGCAATTCTGAAGGCCTCAGAACATGTACATACAAACCTCTCGGTTTCTGTGGATAGCATGCTGCGGTTGCTCAAGTGCTGATCCTGGGCTCTGCACAGTGGTAATGATCTTCCATGTGTCTGTTGATAATATCATAACCTGAAGCCTCCAGTGAATTCAGTTTCACCATTTCTGTTGATTTTCTTTCAGCATTCAGTGTGGGTGTTAGTGGTTTTTCCGTGTACTTCCTTGTGTAATACCTGGTTTCTAGCCCTAATCCACAGCAAACATACGGCAATTGAAAACACATAGACAAACGCCATCAGCTATGAAACTGCTTTGTACCAGAAAAGCCATTTTTCCACCAAATCCTTTGTCCGTTCCTCCCTTTGTCTTATTGGGCAAGTGCATTTATTTGCACTGCTGAGTCCTTGCTTAGTGGGCAACACTTTTTTTTTTCCCTGGTGCTTTTTAATCCCAAACAGTTTCAGCAACCAGCTGAAATTTTGTACGATTCCAGGAGGAACGCGGTATTTATATGGATAACAAGGATATCCAGAGTGTAGTAGTTAATACTAACAAAAATTTTGGAAGGAACATAAAGCCTAATGCCTCAGAGCTTTTAACAGTCTCTGATTCTTGAGGTTTAAGATCAGATCTTTATTTAGGAGCAGATTGTCCCACATCTATTATTCATCCTGCAGTGGGGTTTCTTGTACTTTCTGTGGAACATTTGGTGCTGGCTGCCTTTCAAGACAGAATAATGGGCAGGGTGAATTAAGAATTTGATCCAGAAAGATGATTCCCATGTTTATCAGGTCTAGAATGGATAAATGTCCAGCAAAAGAAAACCAAACCAGGAAGTTCTTTGGCTCCAGTGGGTACCAGAGAGTCTGTCACAGAAAATGAACTTCCCAGTAATTGTCACTGTTGTCATTTCCAATGCATGCTTTTTAAAATATTGTGGTAGATATGGAATAAAATATGTGGAAAAGAAAACCTGGAGTGAGAAACCTTAGTGAAATTTCAAAGGCAGTTGGACCTTTAGATGTTAGCAAGGAACGTTCAGCCTGATGTACATGTGCTAGAAAAATTAAACTTTTCAGAGTTGGATTTTTAGCCACAAACAATCAGGATTGCACAATTTTAGAATGTTTTGCTATATGAGGATTAAACTATCAACAGATCGCAAATGCGCATACACTGAATTCCTCCTTGTGCACTGAACTTTTGTTATATTTCTAATTTTAACTTGACTCAACATACAGAGATGAGTGGGAATGGATCCAAACACTTTCTGGCTCAGAATCTATGGAAAGTATGGATCATACTTCAGACTGCCCTACTCAATTGTTCTTGTATGAGCTCCAGATGGCAGTGAAAGCTCTCCTTAAACAGATCAATCTACCTCTGCATCAGGTATTTTCCTTTGTGGTATTTATCACCTTTTTTAAAGCTAATTCTTAGGAACACAACTAGAAACTGCAAAACGTGTAACTTTCAAGTAGGGATTAAATGTTAAGGCTGCAAGAAAAGGAAAGCAGAGGAATTTTGTATCCAATTACTCAAAGCGTTTGGGGGAAAAACACTTCCAGGAAGAGTTCTTTCCCTGGGTATGCGAACATACAAGGATTAAGAGACAAATTTTCAATTAGCTTCTATTTCTGTGTCTGTCAGCATATCTGTGCAGCTTCAGGCAGGTGCAAACAAGTGCTTTTGCACACATCTCTAGGAGTTGGGAGCACCTTTATACCCAGCTGGCAACGAAAGATAGGTATTTTCCCAGGGAGGCAGGGCAATTGACTGTTCTGTGGAGCTATTAGCAACGGTGTACAAAAGGCCTGCTGAAGACCCAGCATTTTGCAATTCTTTTGTACACAGGTAAGCAAGCAGAGCACTTCTAAAAATACATAGTTCCAGATTGCTGTGTGTGAGGAGAGGTATTTGGCTTCTGGCTCTACATTTAGGTACCAGAAATGCATGCGTGAATAAGTAAAGAAGTCAGTGAGGATAATCAATGATGTGAAAGATGCACGAAGAAATACGCTAAGGAATTTGTTTCTTGTTTACACGAAGTCCATCGTATTTTGGTCTACCACTGTAAGAGGGCTTAAAGGAGAAGTAAATCATCTTTATATTCACTTCAAGGTCTGTTTGTACAGCTAGAAAGATGTGGCCTTAAAATAAATTAATCTGGCCCTACATTTCTTGATTTTGAAAGGCTTAGGCTTTACTTTTAAAAGGAATCCATCAGTGCAGCACCTTCTAGCCTGGGAAGAGCCAAGTAAGACTCAAGTAAATCCAAAATTAAGACAGATGGTGTGCTGCCTTGTGGTCAGTCACTCTAATTCAATAGGACTCTGTACATGTCTCTACGCCAGGGTATTTCCTTGGAGGTCATAGCTTTTGTGCATCCTATTTTTTTAAGCTAGGGACTAAAATATTAAAATCAATGCGCAGTTTGTTTGTCATTAGGCTGCAGTTCAGCCAAGCATTTTAGCCCATCCATTGTGCATGAGGGACAGGCAAAAATTAAGTTAAACACAATTGTGAATGTTTTGATGACTCAGGACCAAACTTCTGGGTTAATGAATTGATTCAGCAGATTTATTTATGCATTATTATTATTACTGTGGTAAATGGAATCATGGACAGTGACACTTGCAAAGGCAGAGTAAAATGCAGTGCTGCACACAGCAGAAATACAGCAGCCTCAGGCCAACTCCTGTGTATGCCATTTTCTCTTGCTGCAGCACTTGTTAAAACTTTTCGGCGCTGTGTTGAGGGAGAGCTGCATATTTCTCTTAACCGACCCTAAATTGAATCTTAAAGGTTTTTAATTGAATCCATTTTCATGTTTTCACATAATTATGCAATCATAATCTTGAAAAGCACATGGCATGTGATCATTTTCTGCCTAATAAGAAACATAAATGTTGTTTTCAGGGGGGTTATGCCTGTGTGTGTTATTTTAATGTGGAACATTGCAGCTTTAAATCTTTATTTTATGTAGTGACATGAACCCACATTTAGGGCCCCCCCCCCAAATATTTATGTTTTATAAAAATTCCGAGCTTGATGTCGTGCAAATTTTCTTTAATGTTTTATATCATTTGGGGTGTTGTTTATATAAGTGCCATGTTGTAATTCTCTCCTATTTCTTCCCCCGCGCGTGTCCCTCTACAGGCTAAGCACTTCCGTCTGTATACACAGGAGGTGTTGGAACTGGGTCACAATGTCTCCTTTCTTCTCCTGCTCCCCGCCTCAGACGACGTCTGCACTGCCCCAGGACAGAATAATCCTTACACCCCACACTCAGGATTTCTTAACCTCCCTCTTCAGATGTTTGAACTCGGTATAGTAGCTTGCTTCACCTAGAAATATTAACCCAGTCTCCTTATAATAAAATCACAAAGTTGTATCTGTTTTCCCCCTTGTCCCAGTGGAGAGTCAATAAATCACATGATGGCTTTGGCAACAACACTACCTATAACTGTGTACAAGTTATAGAGGGAGCAGAGCAGTTAAAGCATATACTGTAGCAATCGTTACTGAAACGCAAAGCATAGAGCCAAGCCCACAGTTACCCAGTATATGTCTACAAGTTTATTTGGAAGATGATGCTCTTTAAAAAACAGAACAAAAAATTACACACAAGATAACAAGGTTGGAGCTGTGAAAGCGAATTCAAAGAAACACCCCTTTAAATTGTCACAGGAACAATTAGCAGTTTGGTAGAGGAGAATTTTTGCAGTTCCTGATCACAGATAGTCCCTACTCATAGTCCAACACCCTTACAACTTCGTGAAAGGTCTGAATGCAGTTTCTGAGGTGCGAGTCATCTCTTTCAAGTCCTGAAAAAAGTTCAGGAGACTCAATCCTATTGTTGTGATGCAGGAAAAGTCTGTTATGGTGAGAAAAGCTAAAACACTGGATTGAGCCTTGAATGCACTTCAATAGGGAGCACGTCCTGCAGAGCAGATTCAGCCCGCTGTTCCACTGCATTGCTGCCTAGGTAGGAATTCCCAAAAGCAGGGTTTTCCAGCTGTTTAACATAAGGCAGAAGAGATGCTTCAGCTCCAGGGTCCTCTACTCTTTTCTTCCTGTTGGGTCCACAGAGCAGAGAAAGGCTCCATATAAAAATAGCACACAAAGACTTCGTAGTTCATTTTAGAAAGAATCTGAGAAGTAAGGGGACTTCTGAGCCTTACACGTTAGTCTGCTGTTTCCTTCTGGCCTGCGCAACTGCGTGTCTTACTACTTTCCTCTGCCTTGGAAAGCAGCCACTACAGTGTAGGTCTCCAGTGCAAGTGGGTCCTCAGTGATACCCCTCTCAGATGTTTTATGTAACACCATTACCATCACCATCGTATTTCCTATATATCATTGCAAAGTGCTATCACAGTCACTGATGTAGGAGAACGATGACTGGATGATAATGGAGGGCCTCACTAAGGCTGTGGTTCTGCAGTCACAGTACTGACCTGCCATCATTCAGCAGCGCTAATTGGATTTGGATCAGGCAGGAATATACAATCGTGTTTATGTCACATCAGCCAGAGCACATAAAGTGGTGCCTATGACAGCTTCAGGCTTTTACGCTAGTACTGGGAGAACAGATGACAGCTGAGTCAGCATAAAATTAAGAGGTACAGACAATGCATGCGTTGGTGTATAGTCTGTCAAGATAAAGTTACCCTTTCAAAAGAAGACTAACATAACTGAACTAGCAGTTAGTTTGGTGCTTTGGGTCACATGTCCTTGGCACTTGGATGTAGCTGTAGTGCCCCAAAGCCAGATTTACCATCTTCTTGATCTGCAGCCTCTCGGTCTACAGTTAGATTCTGTGTATTAAGCATATTATTTCTCCTTAGGAGAGGTGAGTGCTGCATTCACTGTGCAAATTAATGCATGAGGCATATAATCTCCGGTGAAAGTCATCTCTGCACTAGAGGTCTTGCAGACTATTTAATTGTCATTATGTGGCACACAGGCCCTGGGCAGGAGTCAGTTCTCTTCTCTGGGACACAGTTTGCATTGAGCTGATAAAGGAGTAGGCGCTGAATTGGGATGGTGTGCAGATAAACATTCAAGAGGGTCATCTCTAAAATAGCATCCTGGGTGCGGACCTCTTTGTTTAGCAATGTTGCTGCAGTGGGAAAGCAGTTCATGGAGGAAAGAACAGTAATGAAGGCTGAATTTTAAGTGTTGACCTTTTTTTAAGTAAGCAATCATCTGGCCAAATGCAGATGACATTTTCTATATGACTTATTATATATGTATCCCTGATGTTCTATAAAATGGTTGTGATTCACATCTCAAATATTAGAAGCTTCCATTCCCCATTAGCTAGTGGCTACCAACTATATAATTGCATAACCACAAAAGACTGTGTTGAAGTAACATTTGTTAAAGTAACATTAAAGGGTCTGACTTAAAACCACAAAGGCTAGAAATTTCAGCACTGAAGCTGAAACCGCGGCTGTAATTCACTCAAGAGTCCACCACATATGGCATATATACTGTAAGACCACACACTATTCAGACTAGATCCCTGCAATATCTAGGCATCATTGGGAAACCAGAAGGTAGAATTCTTTCTTTCACTCTCTTTTTTGTGGGATTTCTATGTTCAGATCAGGCCTTTATTGTTATGCTAATAACGTCCCTGTGATTGGATTTCTTACTTTTAGTATCATTTACTTGCAAAGGAGAAACAGATATGATATGTATTTTTATTTGTTTTAAGATTTATGATAAGAACAATTTATGCAATTTACACTTGAAACACCCTGAAAAATACCATCCCACAATCCAGAAGAGAAGCACTATTAAGCCAGCTGCCATTCGCTGCTGTAACGAGATTGTGCTGTAGGCTTATTGAAGTGCCAATGAATGGGGGAGTATTTCTGAAAACCTGTTCTCCCTCAGTAGGTTTTGGTATGTCTGTACTGCAGTTTGCAGGGATAACTGGCAAGCTTTGCGTGAGCAAATGCAGGTTCTGGAAGAATACAGCTTTCAGAGGCTAGCTAAAGCAGCGCTTGGGAAGCTCCATGACATCATAGCTGTTCTGCCTCTGCTGTCTGCGCTAGCTCTTTTAGAGGTAGCTCAGATAGCTCTGTGCTACGCTGAAGTTAAATTACATGAGGCAGGAGGTCAGTTCTGACTTTTCCATGTTTGCCCTTCTGCATAAGAGGTCAGGGGACAGTGTGTGATTACTGACACCTACAAAGTTTTAATTGTTTCGCTTAAATTGTGACATCCGAGAAATGCTTTTACTGCTGAGTCACATTTGAGTTACTGATTTTAAGTTAGTCTAGCCCAAGAGAAAGCTGCTATCCTCCAAAATGATACTTTCTTCCTGAAACACTCAATTAAAATAAAAGATGGGTTCCATTTTCCAGTCATATCACTACTTTCCTGATAAAAGAAATTACCCCCTCCTGAAAACCTTTCCTCTTTTATATTCTTAGACTGTCACTGTTACAGGAACTGTACTATTGCCCAGTGAGCTACAAAAGCCTTAAAATCAGCCTTTCTGATTAAAGCTATCAAAGGTAAAATAGCCTCTGGAGTTGCATACTAAGTACCTGATTATCCCTTCACTTAGATATAAACTAGAAATGATTTGTTTGAGATCAGTGAAGCTACAGAGTAAACCAATATAAATGAGAGAAGAATTAGAGCCTGTATTATTTATTTCTAGCTTAAAGTAAACCCATCTAGAGTGTTAGTAATTATATTGAATAAAATTTGTGTTCTGAAAGCTAAGGATTTCATATTTAATGACCAGAATATAACAGCGTTTCCTTTGCATTTGGTCTTTTTACAGTTCACTTTTGCTGTTACAAGGAAAAATTTATAAGCCTGTATTGCCGCCTTTCTGCTGTCATAGAGCTGGACTCTCTGAAAACCCAGCAGTCCCTAAGGGAAGCAATTTCAGACAGTGAAGTCGCTGCAGCCAAACAAAGACACCAGCAAGTTATAGACTACATACAGGTAATAGTCTGTTTCTGACTACTCCAAGGAGATTTTCAGGTGGCTTTCTTAAAAATTGCATAGGGCTGTAATTTGAAATCTAAATGGAGAATTATTCACAGACATCATAAAAAGAGCAGTTGTATCCAAAGTGCAATTCTGTTTTTATGAAACTCAAACCCAGAACATGATTTCCTTAGTTGTTGCTTTTATACAGGGATTTTTATGGGTAAAATCAAATGACAGTTATACTAGACTGTTACAAAGAAATGTGTCAGTCTGCTTGTAAAACTCTCTCCCATCTATGTGAGGGAAGCTAATGCCATGCTTGGCCCTTCATTTGAGTAATAGGTTTTCTCCATTTTAGTGGATTAAAGATTTCTTTTGCCCTGATAATAGGCCAATTAAAAAAAAAATAAACGAAAATTCAGACTTAAGTCATGGAGGCAATCTTCATCAACAGTATCACAGTGAACAAAGCAGTTTTGTGTTAAAGATAGCAGCTTAGCGCTCAGAGAGCTGGTAGCCTGTTCAGCACCATGAAGAAATACTGCTTCGCTCCCCTGATGCAGTAGAACCACAGATGTTATCACACTTGTCTAGTTTGCTTTTCCTCTGTCTCTCACACTGATCTTCCAGTAGCGTTCCCAGACCAGGACTTAGCCTACTCAACTCATGGCTCTTTGAACTATACCCCATTGTGCAGTGTAGCAAGGCCTGTACTTTGCAAAACATTTTGGTGATTGAATATTTATGGATAAAACTGATGGTCTTTCCGTAGTGTACTGATGGATATGATTGACCTGTCCTTCTACAGGTGAGGTGCAGATCAGTTTACAGCTCTACATTCTTAATACTCAAGCAACGTTCTATTGGAGTAGAGGCCAAGACAACCATGTATCCCATTGATGGCTTTTGTGACCCTCTATAATTATGAACCAGATGATAATATTTCTGTTCCTCCTTGCTCCGAAATTTAGATCCCTTTAGCCTTGTCCACACTGGAGCTGTTGGAAACTCGCAGGGGGCCAGAGGGGAACGTTCCGCTGTACTTCCACCTTTCAACCAGCTTCTCCCTCTTCATCTTCCCGTTCTCACACCCAGAAAAGTTAGTTGTTCCCAGTGTACAGGAGCATTTGGGTAAATGTTATCCTTCACATCAAAAATAAAAACATGTTTTATTAATACACATACACTGCATAGACAGTTCTGTGTTTCTCTTCGCCAAAGTGTTCAAGTCACATATATATGCTGGGAAAATATAGGAGAGTATTTTAAACTTCAGTGTTTTGTGCTGACTTATTGTGACAGTGTATTAGCTTTGTCAGGTTTCCTCTCAAATGAAAACCAGCTGTACTCTACCTATTGGCAAAAATATCTCAGCCCACCACATACCGCAATCTTCAGTGGTGACCACAAAACCGCAAGAGCATTTGTATGATCCTAGATCTAAGACAGTGTTGAAGTCACTACACAAACCAAACATTGTAAAGAGTAAAGGAGTCTATATAAATGCAGTTCTGAAAAAGAGTCAGAGAGCAACTGAAAAGTAAAGATTAAAAAGAACCCAGCAGATAAGGTACTCAGCGTCTTTACCAGAATGTTAGAGAGCAAGACAAGAAATCTACAGACACTGGAGTTAAAATCGCAGTTAAGTTATAACTGATATAGCGTAAAGCTTCAAATGTTTCTGTTCATTAAAAATAACTGGCCAGTTATCCCAGGAGACGCTGCAGAATGGCACCAGGGAGAAAAGCAATAGGATTTGCATTTTAATAAGCCGCATGCAGTTGGATGTTTTTGTCTGGGATTGGGGGAGAATTATAGAAAGGAAATTCAAAGTTTCCAAAACCAAATAGGTGAGAAGTTTGCTAACTGATCGACCCAATGCATTTTCTTCACGGGGATACACTGAAGTCTGGAAATGAAGTAGGGGTAGAAATGAATCCCTGAACCCTTGGCTGTTCTAATTGGTGTAGATTCTTAGCCCAAAATAATTCAATGGCAAGGCCTGCACTGACATCTCTGGAGACTGGATTTCGCTTATACATAAATATGGCCATACTGGGTCAAACTAAAGATCCATCTAGCCAGCTATACTGTCTCCAACTGGGCCCAGCAAGAATTAGCCTAGCTAACTTTCTCACATCTACAGTATCCTTTGGCAGTAAGTTCCACAGCTGGATTATGCATTTTGTGAAAAAGTATTTCCAGCTAAAAGGATGTGCTAGTGAACCAGTCTTAGACTGTATCAATATACAGTCTCCTTTTCACTGATACCTCTGCTATATCACTATTTGATAAAACTCACTGTGCAAAGTACTACTGACTTTTGCCTACTGACCCCCTTCTCCTTCCCCTTTACGTTCTTGCAGATTGTGGCTTGCGTAGCTGAGAAGTAGTTTCCCTTAAACACTGCAATATTAATGTGAAGGCTCAGTCATACTTTAAATGCAGTACCTTCTGCAGGAAGCGAAACACAAGTGAAGTTCTAGAAAGGATACTGCAACAGAAGGATATTGTGCTCATTGCTACATCACATTCACTGGTCGCAGCAACATTTACTCAGTCATCAAAGATCCTGAATTGCTTGAAGACCTTAAAAGCGTTCCATTATCAAAAAGACTCTAAAGGCCCACATTAAACAGCATCTTTCCTCTCTGCCTAGATACTTAAAGCCATATCCTGCTATTGATTTGGGCACCTGTCTCTGGTTGCCATCAACAGGTATGACTTAGAATGGCCCCAGTGCAGATTAATATTAATAAAATGCATGCAGACCAAAAATGATGATAAGGGAGAGAACCTGGAGATGTTATAAATATGGACCTGTAGTAATTTTGCTTGGATGCTTTTCCCTATGAGAACTGAATTGTTGCAGTGGAGTTTCAGACAGCTATTTTATTTTGTTTTGGCCAAATAATAAATAAATGCACTCTAATAAGTGCTCAGCGGCGTTGGCAAAATAAGTTGGTGAATTAGCTCCCCATCTCAGCTTTTCACCCCATCTGATAGCCCACTGTCAGGCAACTCATTTAAACAGCCAGGTTTTAATGGGTAAAGTAACTGATATTTCTCAACCAGCCCTGCAGGAGGTTCTACATGGAAGAGTCTTTGTTCTGCCCTATTCTTCTGAGATGAAAAATGCTATTCTGAATCAGGAACTTGAGTTTGGCTCATAGCTTTCCTTCAACCCTCCATGTATATACACATGCACACAGATACTTTGTCTGTTGGAAAACTGGGTTTCATCAGATAGTAGTGCTTTTGAAGATAATCCTAGGCTCAGAAGGATGCGTGAAAGGTCTTGGTTTCATTCCAGTACGGAATGAAATCAGCTTTCACGTGTGCTACAAAAATGATCTTTATCCTCCAGTCAAAAAGCTATTTTTATTTTTCTGTCAATGTCAGAGTTCACGCTTGGATTCATCCCTCCTATCAAGAAAGAACCTCTACAGGTTAGAAAGAATTAATAGAATTAATACGGTCCAGAATTAATTGTAGTTTTTTTACCATTTTTTTTCCCCTCCAAAGCAAATTGATGAGATCTGGCGGGAAATGAGATGGATCACAGAAGCACTGCAGTATGCAAGATACAAACAGCCAGCCCCTGGCCTACCCATAAAGAAGCTTGTCGATCTTTCAGAAGAACAGACTCAAAAGAAAATCAGTTCAACATCTTCACATCTAGACTGTCTTCCTTCACCTCCCCCCTCACCTGAAAGAAGAAGCCAGAGGAGAAAAGCTGTGAGTGGTAAGAGAGTTTTTGTTTGCTTATCAAAGAAAATCTTTAAAATTGCTTTTAATTAAAACAGTTCTTGAATTCCATTTCTTCCCATGCCTGCCAAAGTATTTTAACAATCATTTTACCAGTCATTAGCTACTCTAATAATTAGCTACTCTCTCTTCCTGAGACCCTTCTACAATCCTTACAATCATTTTTTGCTTTCTACAGGGTACTTGCTTATCATCATCCAACTCTGTCTCCTCACTATTCCAGATTATTTAATGAATAGGCTGGATGGGACAGGTGCTATCATGACCTCCAGAATTAGTAAAAAACATCCATAGTGAAAGCTGACTATTACTCTGTTTGTCTTCTGCACCAGCAATCTGTTATTAATCTGTGGAAGGAGCTTTCCTTTTATCTCTATTACAGCTTCCTTTCTTAAGAACTTTTGGTAAAGGATCTTGTCAAAAGCTCTTCAGAAATCCAAATGTGCCTATGTATTACATTGTCCACATGTTCAAAGAGTTTTACTCGACTGGTGATGACTTACCGAACAAAAGCTATTGGCCTTTCCTTACTGCTCATGTGTCTATTAGTTTCTAACATTTTGCCCAGGATGGAAGTCATACTTTTCCACAGTCCCCATTTGTCACCTTCTGTTTCTCTAGTACTGCAGGCATTTTTTTTCCATCCTTTGACCATTCCTCTGCTTTGAAGTAATCCTTTCTCATGCTCCTCTTCCTTTGTTTTAATGGAGGAAATTTCAGTGCCGATAGTCCAGTTTCATTTAACTGTCATTTTCACATACCTCAGCGTCCTCAGCGGTTTAGACAGGCCCTTTAAAACAAAATTACACAAATAAGTACCCTCTTCATTAGCCATTACTGCTTCTCCGAACAGCTGGAAAATTAAAGTGATGAAAGAAATTAGTCACATCAAATAAAGAGGAAGCAAATTAAACAGTGACACCTCATTTGCTAACCGAATAAGAACTTTGGAGAAAAATGTAAACCATCATTCTGCTGGGCTGTCTTTAAGCAGTAAGTAAATGAAATGGCAGAAACCAAAGCAATAGATACTGCGTTAAACAACTGCCATGACCGTTTTGGTAACGATAACTTGTTTTTCAAAGTGGCATTTTTTTATAGTTAAGAACAACACATAAATCTACTCTGATATGATTAGATTAGATTAAAAGAAAAAGAAACCCAAAGACTGTGGTGTCACGTGCTTTGATTTGCTCCTTTACACAGTGGTGCTCTCTCTCAGCACCTCTCCCTGAGCTAAATGTTTCCCTGTATTACATACTATGAATGCAGAATAATCCTCTGTGCCTTAGCTCTGGCACCATGTAACCTAGAGCATTATCTTGCCATGCATGGGCTTGATTCATTACTGCCCTGCTATACAGTAATTTACTCTAGGTCAAAGTGAATAGTTTGCACTGCATAAAATGTACTGGTTTTTTTCCCCTTGGATCTAATGTAAACTATCCAGGGCAGCAGTGGAGCATCAGTCTATTCTAATCATATATGACACTATTTATTACGTTATTGATCCTTCTGTACCCAAAGGACAACAGTTATTTCAGTGCCAGTGCAAATTTTGATCATCAAATTTGAATTAAGTGTGTCAGTTTTGGATCTGAACATACATAATGCACCTGGTGGGGAGTTTTTGCTCATCCACCTCCATGCCTTGCCTCAACCCTTTTCCACACACATAACAGTTTCAACCTACTGACAGGTACAGAGGTATAAATCTGGAGTAATTCAGCTGGCATCTTTAATGAAAAGAGAATCTGGATTAGAGCTTCTCTGTCTCCCAAATCCCCACCTCTATAAAATTTGGTGAAAACAAGATAAAAGAAAATAGATCCTTTCAAAACTTAATCCCAATTCAAATTCAAATTCTTCCCTGTGCTCATTTCCTTTCAATACATGAATCCTTTTGGGTTTTCCTAATTCTTACCACCACCTCTCTATTACATCTGCAAATCCTCCCTGATTACTGTCTTTGCTACTGTCTCCTAGGCTCATGGACATCTTCACACAAGAAACACACATGTATTTTCAGAATTGTGTATATGATTCTAAGTCATGAAAAAATATATAAATGACATTTAAGCAATTCCTCTAATGTGCTTGTCTTGTTAGTAGCAATCAGTTCTCTTTTCAGATTCCCAGCCCTGCTCAGATGAAGAAGGCTGCTCTGAAGTATTTCTTCCAACTGACAGTGACTACGATTCCAGTGATGCTTTAAGCCCCAAAGAATTAGACTTGATATATTCCTCTTCAAATGACATATCCCAGCAGGCAGTCAGTGGCCTAGGTGGCAGTGCACCTGATGTTCTCCAAGTCCATGACATGAAGCCTTGCCTAACATTGAAAGAAGGCATGATTGATACTAATGCTGAATATTGCACAGAGTACCTGAGCAATCTGTCAATGTCAGGGCTTACATCAAAAAGCATAGACAAGTCCTCTAGCTCCAGGCAGCCATTGAGCTTTTTGGGTAAAAAAAAGCTAGGGAAACATCAACGTTACAACTACTTCAGTCGTCATCATCGTTGGCTACGTGTGCACAGCGAGACACAGTCTGGCTCTCTGTCTGAAGGCGTGTATACTCAGCATCTCATGAGATCTACGGATTTATCTCAGGAAC